CAACCACTAATCCCCAGCCCTATTTTTTTTTTTAAAAAAGAGATAGGGAGAGAGAGAATTTTTTAATATTTATTTTTTAGTTTTCAGTGGACACAACATCCATCTTTCTTTCTTTCTTTCTTTATTTTATGTGGTGTTGAGGATCGAACCCAGCGCCCCGCACATGCCAGCCGAGCGCGCTACCTTGAGCCACATCCCTAGCCCTATTTTTGTATATTATTTAGAAACAGGGTCTCACTGAGTTGCTTAGTGCCTCACCATTGTTGAGGCTGGCTTTGAATTCGCAATCCTCCTGCCTCAGCCTCCCAAGCTGCTGGGATTACAGGCGTGCACCACAGGCCCAGCTTAATGTTAAATATTTTTGATAAATCTAGCTCTCATAAGATATCTTCATATGTATCATCATGTAGGTGTTTTATGGTCTAACTACTTTAACATGGGTCCTTGCAAGAGAAATAAAACATGTTTGATGGCAAGTTAAGAAATACTCCATGAAGTCATGACTGGGGATATAACTCAGTGGTACAGCACTTGCCTAGCATGCAGGAGGCCCCGGGTCCTACTCACAATACTGGAGTGAGGGAGGTAGAATTCCATAAAGCCAACAAAACATTGCTATATTTCTAGGGTTTTCAGTTGTCTATAATTCTACATACATGATAATCAAACAGATTGGCAATAGTTGGAAAAAAATAGTTGTTTTCTCCTAAGTCATTATATCATCTCTTAAAAATCTCAGTCTTAAACATTTAAATCATGCCAAGATTATATCAGACTGCCACTGAACTTTTACTTAACCAATTCTTAATCCATAATGTTAACCAATTCTTTAATCCCTTCTTGAATCCATAATGTTATCCCTTGGGCTTTCTTTTCAAATATTTTTTTAGTTGTCAATGGGCCTTTATTTTTATTTATGTATTTACTTATATGTGGTGCTGAGAATTGAACCCAGTGCCTCATGTGTACAGCAAGTGCTCTACGACTGAGCCACAACCCCAGCCCTATCCCTTAGACTTTTAAAAGCATTTAAAGGGGTTTAGGGCATAGTTCAGTGGTAGAGTGCTTGCCTAGCATGCCCAAGGCCTTGGGTTCCATCCACAGTACTGCAAAAGAGAAGAAAAAAAGCATTTAAATTTTTTTCTATTGTTTTTCTCTATTTTCTTCAATTTGCTTACAGTTATTTTTCCTGTTCTTTGATTTTCTATCTTATTATCTTACACCTCTATATTTCTAGAATAACCTCTTAATCTATTTGTTTGTTTTCATTTAGTTTCATTTCATTTCCTAGTTGTTGTTTTTTTTTTGTATGGCAAACAAAGTAAAGCAAAATGGGTATTTTGCGGTACAGAATAAGAAATGATAACTTCTCTGTAGCTGAATTTTTTTCTAGGCACTTCAAAGGAGATGCCTAGATTCAGAGGTTCAACTCTGAATCTAAGTGCAAACCATTTTATTTAAAAATATATAAATACACAAGCTATGTTCTTTTAAGATAAGGAAAATAGCTGGGCTCAGTAGCACACACCTGTAATCCCAGCAGCTCAGGAGGCTCAGGCCAGGAGAATCGCCAGTTCAAAGCCAGCCTCAGCACCAGCGAAGCACTAAGCAACTAAGTAAGACCCTGTCTCTAAATAAAATGCAAAATAGGGCTGGGGATGTAGCTCAGTGACTGACTGCCCCTGAGTTCAATCCCTGGTCCCTCCCTCCCCTGCAAAAAATAAAATCTATAGTGTATACTTTTGTCCAGGATATTCTGCTTTAAAAATACAAATTGTTTTTAATATAATTGTAACAGCACCATTTTTATTTTATTAAGAGGGTTACATGTTAATTCTGAGATCATTAGTAACATTGTTTTAATGGCCATATATTATTATTGCATTAATTAACTAGACCCCTTTTGCCAGTTAGGTAGTCACCATATTAAATAAAAAGATGGTAGCAAGAAGGACCAGCTCTTAAAAACACATGTTAGTTATATTATATGAGATATATGCTATTGTTGGTATTTTTTTCTCCAAATGGTAGATATTTATATCTATTTCTAAAGCTTAATAATACTCAATTATAGATTTTCTAACTTGTTTTCCTAAAAGAACTTAAATTTGGAAAACGTGTGTTCTATAAAGAAAATGAACATATTTTATATCAATTACTTAAATTCCTCACTCTGAGCGTGTTTTTAATTACTAGAAAGAAATATAGACTACTGATGTAAAGTCTGCATAAATATTACTAGACAATACTTGATATTACATAACACAAGGATTTGTACAGTACAGTAGTTAAGAACACAGACTGTAAAGGGAAAAGACTTAAGTCAGAAACATGGCTTTTTAACTTACTAACTATGCGACTCCAGGTAAATTACTGAACTTCTCTATGTCTTCATTTCCTCATCTCTATAGGAGGATAGTTTCTAATAATCATTTGAAACTTTTATAAGAATTCAATTAGTTAATATATGTAAAGTTCTTGGCACATGGTAAGCACTCTATTGATGTTTGTTGCTTAATGATTTTTTAAGTTAGCTAACATTTACTGAGCATCTACTATATACTAAATTAAATATTTTACATGAACTCCCCTAGTATAATTTTCATAACAACCTAGGATGATGATACTATTATTGCCCCCATTTAAAGATGAGAAAATTAAAGTATAAAGATTAAATGAAGTCCCACACAGTGGCAGCTGCCTGCAATTCAAGCAACTCAGGAAGCTGAGATAGGAGGATCACAAGTTCAAAGCCAGCCTCAGCAACTTTGTGAGATCCTAAGCAATTTAGGGAGACTCTGTCTCAAAACAAAAATGAAAAGGGCTGGGGATGTGGCTCAGTGGGTAAGCGCCCCTGGGTTCAATTCCCAGTATGGGAGAAAAATAAAAAACATCAGTAATGAGTATGTGGGAGTTCATGTCTATTTTCTTTACTTTTATGTATCTTTTAAGCCCAAATTAAAGGTTAAAAAATAGCAATGAGGTAGTACAGATTAAATTCTTCATTAAACAAGCAAACAACTTTCTTATATCATCTCAGGTAAAAATTCAAATAGGACATAATATATCTGATACTTGCATGTTTTGCATTTTTATATAATCTGTAAAAGGATGGTCTTAAATTGTTGACTAGCCACTAAACCAAAATGAAAAATCAACAAAGAGGCAAAAATATGTAAACACATATTAAGCTTGTATGTATTTCCAGCAACTCATTAAAAATGTTTTAATAATTAACACTTTTTTTTAATAATTTTGTTTATTTATTTTATGTGGTGCTGAGGATTGAACCCAATGCCTCAAATGTGCTAGGCAAGTGCTCTACCACTGAGCCACAATCCCAGCCTCAAATAATAAACACTTTTTCTTCCATATATCTCTCTGCTGCCTAATAACCTCTATGATTATAACACTGATTTGTTGCCCAGGAAATAAATGAGATGTTACACACAACTATGACTCCACAACAGAAATCTGCTTCTTTAAGAGACACTTCTAAAAATTTCTTTCTTCAGATTAGAGTTTCAAAAATATTTGATACAAGGCACTTTTTAAAAAATATTTTTTATTTTATTTTTTTAGTTGGACACAATATCTTTTCTTTCTTTATTTTTATGTGGTGCTGAGGATCGAACCCAGGGTCTCGCACATGCTAAGCGAGCGCTCTACCACGGATCCACAAGCCCAGCCCCACAAGGCACTTTAATACACACTAGCTCACTAAACTAAAGAGGTATCTATCTTAATAGAAAGAATATTAAAGTTTAAACAGGTAAAATCACTTATCCCAGGTCACAGAGTTAACAAATTGCTAAACTGGTATTCAAAGTTAAACTCAATTACAATATCCACTTTCCCCTCACTATATCAGACTACTCTTAATCAAGGGGAAAACCTACACTCAAATCAGACTTAAATACTGAGGGCCTTCTTCAAGCGGGCCCTAAAGTCACTGGTTGTATATGTATTTGTATATATTTATGTATAGTGTGTTTGTGTGTGTATACATACTTATATTTCCTAGTGGCACCTTGGCATGGATAACAAGCACTAAATAAAACACACAGAGCATTGTTTCGGCTACTGTGGGATTTTTCCCCCCAAGTATCTTAATTTCAACCTGTTTCTCTCTCTTTTTCTTTTCTTTTTTTTTTTGTAGTTGTAGAAGGCCTTTATCTTATTTGTTTATTTATTTATTTTTTTTAACGTGGTGCTGAGGATCAAACCCAGTGCCTCATGCATGCTAGGCAAGCTACAGCCCCCAGACCCTGTTTCTCATTTCCATAATAGGAAAATTAACATCCTTGCTGTCCAAATCCAGTATTACAAGATTCAAAGATGATAAATGGGAAATCTATAAAATCTATTTAAAAACACAAAGAATATTTGATGTCTTAAAATGCTAAAAACAACACAAAATGAAGTTTTCTAAATTGTTGCTGTTTATCCTACAGATTCCATAAACATTTCCAGGACTTTCTAAAGCCTTTTTTCTAAGCATAACTTAATCATCATCTCTATTACACAGCTTTTCTTATCCTTAAATATAATGTAAAATTACAAAAACATCAATGTTTTAGTAAATAAATGTTTGAAATATTCAGCATACAAAAGTTCTAAGTTTGGAATTTCCAAACTAAGTATGTGTTTTGTGTCACTCTTCTAGTTATTAACTCACCTTAATGTTTCAGCCTTTTCACATTTGGTTTGTATGTAAAAAAAGAATAAAGATCTGGAAATCTATAGTAGCACCCAACACATAATTTAAAATGATTTTTTTTTCAAGTCTTCTCAAAGCAAACACAACAGCCAAAAAGCATTTCAACATAGCAACAAAATACACTGAAAACACTTAGCTGCTCTAAAAGAAGGATCAGGCTATTTAGGAGAAAACTACATTGTGTGAGTTTGCAAAGTTTCACACTTTCCCATTTAAATTCCATTTGAGAGAAAGTCTTTGCATACTAACACAATAGGCTTTAAAATGGCACTTTGCTGACCTTCCAATAGTCCAACTCTATGAAAATTCTGTGATGGGTGTAACTTCAGAGAATCTGAAAAACACAAAAAGCATTAAGTACTTTTTATGCTGGATGAGAAAAAAAAATGCCAAGGATAACATACATCTCTTATATAACTATCTTATATTTTTGAGATCTAAGGCCCATACTTGTATATATACTCCCTACAAGAGGAATGCTTAATTGCCTCTACATTGATCTCTAAACTAAACTTAGATTTTAATAAAGTATTTGTTTCATGGAAAATTATCTGACGATTACTGCCCAAATGGTGTTAGTGTCTTGACTATTTTTAGCATCCAAGTGTACCACATTAGTCCTTCTCTAAGATTCATCTCTTGATATTGTCTTCCTCCTGGCACTCAAAACTACAATATTTCTTAACTACTTCAAGTAACATTGTCCGAAAAATATCCACAGGATGGTTGGTGACCGCCAACTAAAGTCATCGAAGCAATGGTTACAGTAACTAAGTAGGATTCTGTACACAAACTCAATAGCCAGTCCATAAAGTCCAGTATCTTTCAGAGTAGACCACCTTACTGTCATTCACTTAAACAACTTAAATACATTAATGTGAAGTTGAAGCCCCTGTTTTGTTAGTTTGTTTTGGAGGGGATGGAATCAGTGGATGGATGCATAGAACCAAAAACAAGCGAAACGCTGAATTTCTCAGGAAAAGGGTTCACCTGGCATATTTTTTTAACATAATGAGATGAACAGTTAACAATCCAGTTATGTCTTTCGCCTCGTCCCAGTGGTTTAAAGAGTGATGAGTGCAGTGGGAGTATTTTGGTTTGATGCCCCTTGCATAGGGAACCTGTTCTGACACATTCTTATGGTGTCCAGTATAGGAATTTAATGCCAATAGAAATCAGCTCAAGTATTAATATTTGAGATGCTGGGAATCCCCTGCAGGCCTTAGCCAAAAAGAGTTTTTAAGTGGGAATCTCTGTCCACTGTCCCCTCCCTGCAAGAAGCCCTTGAACAGCAAAGAATAGAAAATTCTCAAAGGACAGCGTCCGTGCCTCAGCCTGATACTCCAGAGAGAGGAGAGGAATAAAACTAACCCAGAGAGAGCACCCCTATTTTTGAAAAGAGAGGGAGAAGTAAGTAATTAGAATGCCACGGAGGTGGGAAAAGAAAATTCGGGCCCTTTCCAGCGAAGATGACGAGGAAAGGAAGAACGCCTGGCCGAGGGGGGCCGTCCCGACAAGGGGAGGGAGTGGACTAGGCCAGAGGGAGAGGGGGGCAGAAAGACGGCGCACAAACAAGCCGAAGGGGGGTAAAATGGTGACCCTGCCCCCAGAACCGGCCTCCGGCCACGCCGCCCGCTGGGGGGCAACTTTGCCCGGGAGGAGGGTCCGGGTAAGAAGAGCCGTGGCGCGCGGATCGCCGCGGCCCCAGCGTGGGGCCCAGTCCGGGGTGATCCCCGAGCGGGGGAGGCCGGCGCGATCTCCTCGCAGAGGGTGGCCGAGCCCGACCTGCCGCCGGACGCTCAGAGCCAACGGTGCCGCAGACACCGGGGGCCGACGGAATCGGGCCCCGGGCGGCCCGCGGCTCCGCGGGGGAGGGGCCGCCGCTCCTCCGCCTGCCCCTCCACCACCAGCCTTCCCCTGCACCGCTCCCCCACCGCAGCCCGACAGGCTAGCGGGGTCCCGGCTTCGCCGCCCCAGCCCCGACGGGGACCCCCTGGGCTCCCGGGCGCCGGCTCTCCCCGCCCCCACGCCCCACCCCCCCAGCCTGACTCACCTCGCGAGTAAAGGGACTTGGGCGATTCCAGGTCTAGGTCCGCGCTGAGCAATGAGATGAAGTCCGAGGGCATCGCAGCTCGACCCAGCCCGGCCCGAGGGCAGCGGGAGGGGGGGAGCGGCGGTGGCGGCGGCACCTCCTCTCCGAGACCGCGGGCACCGAACCGGGGGCGGCGAGGCGAGGGCGGCTGCTGCTGCCTCCTCCTCGAGGGCAGTGACTTCCACCGAGCCAAGGACCAACGAAACGGCGTCGGGGTGGAGGGAAACTCCACAGGGGCTGATTCCCGGCGAGCCAGGAGAGAGTTCAGGGCGGGGAAGGGGAAGGGGGGAGAGCCAACGGGTCCGTTTCGTGCTTCTCCTCAGCGAAAACTGACGGTCGCCGCCACCGCCGCCGCCGCTGACAGGAATCTGAGCCCCGCCCCCCGTGGGGCACTGCGCAGGCGCGGAGGGGGGCTCCCGAGAGCCGGGAAGAGCCGGGCTGCAGCCGGAGGGCGGGGAGGCTCGTCACGGAACAGCATCAACAAGGGCTTCGCTTCCTGCCGCAGCTGCCCGGGCGGCTGATCCCGAGCCGGGGAAAGGGCCCCGCCGGCAGGGAGGGAGGGAGGGAGGTGGGGAGGCGTCACACGCTGGGGCCCCGAGGAGGGAAAAGGTATTTGCTCCGACCTGGTGGCGGCGAGCCTGAGGCGGCCTGCTCTGCGCCGCGGTGTGCGCAGGAGGACACCGATCCGGAGCAGCCTGCATGGGAAGGGAAGAACCCAGCGACTCGCGGCGGCCGAGGCCAGAGTTTCGCAGGCAAATGGAGTTTCGTCGTTTGGACAGCGACCAGCTCTTTGGGGTTTTCATAGCAGTGTCTACAATAAGCTGGCCAAACGACTGTCAAACTCATTTCTTAATTAGGAAATGGTAGACCATATCCTAAAAACACCAGGTCCTAAAAACAAGTCCCTTGTTTTTAATTAAAGTGTCTTCTTCCCTCCCTCCCCACACACACACCGACTTTGGAGACTGTAATTTATTACTTTAAAAAATCTGATTGCGCTGGAGTATCTGAAATTTACTCAGAGTGGGAAATAAGACAATTTAAAAATTGGATCTTGTGAATCCACCTGGTTGTTCTAGAGGGGAAAAAAAAAAAAAAGCAAACCTAAAACGCTACTCTTCTATACAGGTTTTCATTTTTGAGTTTTGGACTAGACTAGGATGGAGGAAGAGCACACGCACACGTAAATGAGTTTTTGCTATTCTGTTCATGGGGGCCAAAAGTTTCCATTGCAAAAACAAAAATCCTCACCTACACCGCAGACTGTTTCCTGACTCTTAATAGACTTCTGGGAGATTTTTAATCAAGTTATTAAAATATCAATTGGAGCTCAGGGTGTGCATCTTGAGAAAGAAATTTAATCTTGTGTGGAATATTGATGCCAACAACCGCATGGGTAAGGATTTTGAGCTATTTGAGTTGGTTTTGTTTCTGTCATTTTATCTTAAAGATCTTATAAATCTTAAAAATCAGTCTTGTATTATGTACATGTATGTAATTTACAGCCTCTCTCAACCATAAATTTGGGCACTTCATCTGAACTTGGAGTGCTGGGGCTGGGGGTAAAAGGTCTCAGCAAATGACGCCCCAGTCCAGTTGCCTCTGGGGTGGGCCCTTTACTAAGCTCTACCTGCACATCTAGAATTTAAACTTGTGTCATCAGAGCCTACCTATCTTTCCATCTGAAAATCTGATTCAGTTTGTCAAATTATCTTCACAAAATTCTGTATAGCAGAAAAATCAACACTGTGAACATTTTCCTCCTGTCAAAAGGTAAGAAAGCTTTTCAGAGCCACCCGAAGATGGCAAAGCAGAACAGGCCACTGTAGGCTGCTGTAACAAGTCCCAAGGGAAGTCCCTTCATAGCTGGGAAGAGCCATTTGAGAGGGGAAGACCCAAATCTCACATTGCCTAACAAGCCAAGGCCTATTGAAATCCCATATCTTTTGAGTTTGAGTAAACACCTGTTAGAGACCTCCAGGCTCCATTAGTCACTACATGATTTGACAAGAGGAAATTGCAATGCACCAGGCAGAGCCTCAGTACTAAGAAAGCTTGGTGAATCACTAAGCATATTTCTGTGTAATTCCTCAACAAACTCAGAGTATGAAAAATCCCACATTGTTCTGACCCTAATTAACAGGTCAAGAATTAGCAAGGACTCTTCCCTTCTGTACTTTGCCCTCTTGTGACTTCTTTTTTTTTTCTCTTCTGCTTTGTTTTTGTGTTAATCAGATTTCCCCTGATTAGCTAAAAGGGTCCCTGATCAAAAAACAGTGTGACCTGCATGATAATCAAGGTTATCAAAAATAACTATCTGATCACTATTTCTCTAGTAAACTATATGTCCTTCTAGTTCTAATGACATTTCCCTTTGTGGTCATTTGTATCTTAGTTGTGTTCCCTGTTAGTTGGTATTTGAAGTAGTGTGAAAATATTTTAAAAACCACCCCATCATCCACAATTCTTCATAAAATACTGACGTGACTTTATGTAAAAATTGGAAATTTCCTCTCATTGAAAATTACAATAGGATCATAGAACAAAACATACAGCAGATTTAGTAGTTTGTAGAATTCCTTTATATTACTTCCGAATCAGGTATCGCATTCCCTAGTCACTTGATTACAATTTCACAAGAACCCGGATTCAGCTACAAGATTGTGTGGATTATGCAATAAAGTCTCACTTTTTGTATTTGTAGTGTGTTTGTATTGGTAGTGTTAACCCCTCCTGGATCTGTTTAGGCACTTTGAGAATTGTGTAGCTGGATCTACTCTAAATGAAAGAGGTTCAAATATCAACCACTTGAAAAGGAATTAACTCATACAGAACAAAGTAATGTGTTGTCACAAGATCTACAGAATCTTTGTCATTATAATACAATGAAGGCTGTTAAAATAATTTTAGTCACACATATATTGTAAGGAACCTGCTAAACAAACACAATCTGGAAGGAAAATTTCCAGTGTGATTCAAATAATAGACTAAAAAAAGTTTATACTGCAAATTATTTTTGCCCCACCTTGGGAGTGCTCCTTAATAGAGAATTGATAGTGGTGGGAAGTGGCAGTGACTTCATTTGTGCTAAAATTTTTATCCGATTCTTATTTGGTTATGTTTATGTGATACTTTTTACCCTGAGATCATGCTCTGGCAAAGGTTTCTGAAGGTAAAATTAGTTTCTCTACTATTTGCCATTAAATTTAGTATATCCTCACTCTTTTCACCTTCCAAAGTGCCTAAATCTTATAATCAAGCATCTAATTCACTTGATGAAGTACTTCTGTATTTTATGAATTGATTTGAGTCAGAGTTTGCTTCTGAAATCATTAGAGATCAGTTTAAGTCTCTCAAGATCTAGAGTGATTACAAATCCTAAGGTGCAGTAAAATCAACTTGAATCTGAAAGACTTAGTGAGGAGTGAGAAAGGAGGTAAATGCTGGAGAAATGCAAAGGATG